TNCCGAGGGTGTGTACATGGAGCATGGGTATATCCTGATTTAGAGGGAAATATTGAATCAGTATTGATTGCATCAGTATTGGATATTTGTTCCGTAAGTAAGTGACGACTTACTCGCCTGAGACCTTCTATCAACGGTCACACGTCAGTGTGTGTTAAACATCCCCTTTAACAATCCCCTTTAGCATCATCCCCTTTAAATCCCTGTTAGCATTCCCCTTTAAATCCCCATTAGCATTATCTATTCTCCTACTCTACTTACCTAGACATTACCTAGACATTCCCCCTATGCACCTACACCACCTTCTAGACCTGTCCAACCCACCGCCTTTAAGCTTTCCAACACTTTAGTACTAGCGTTTTCGCGTATTCTGTCCCCGTGCCATCTGCTATTACAGTGAATTCTTAACAGACAGTACAATTAATCCAATTCCTAACCTCACCTACACTTCTACAACTTCACCTCTTCTAATCTCTACACACCTTACCTCGCCGTCGTAATCAACGCCGTCACTTCAAACCCGTCATCTTCCATCCGGTGTTGAGTTGACAACCCAGTCCAGGCTCTGTCCTTACTTCGACTACACTACACTAGCCCGCCAAAGTACATCCCACTACACTAAAAGGTACCTCCACCACCATCAAATCCCCACCGTACCTGCGTGAGCTGACCCTGCGTCTCCACCGCGAAGATCTCGACCTTTGGCTTGTGCACAGCCCATTACTAGCCAGCCAGCCAGACAGACAGACCGACAGCCATCCCGCCGGCGCAAACACCCAGTCGGTATCTCACGGTAAGAAGTCCAAGCAAGGTGGTCCACCTCCACAAAAATACCCACCGACCCCATCCCCCCCACACCACACCCATATCTTCCTTCCTACAACCTCCGCAACTTTACAACAATGTCCTGAACAATCCCTCCTCTAACACTCTCATTTCTCCAGCACTCCGAACCGACCGACGACTACGACTACAGCGACTACAATCCAGCAGCAGCAGAACCACCAGACCCAGCGAATGCACCAACCCCACACTACACCCACCACACCATGGCCCCCCGCCGCAACCGCCTCCTCTTCGTCCTCGTCCTCACCGCCGTAGTAGGTATCCTCTACCTAACCTCCTCCTCCCGCGCGGTCGCAACGCACGATTTCTACGCCCGCACCCGTTCCCGCCTCGAGACCGACGGCAAAGGCGGTAGTGGTAGCACCAGCGGGAGTGGAAGCGGCAGCTCCTTGGATAAAATCACACCCCAGCGCAAGGCTAGCGGAGGGGGAGATGACGATGAAGTCGCTGAGGCGATGAGTAGGCGCCTCATGGACGCAGAGGTCGCGGCGAAGGAGATGGCTAATAAGAAGGCGCCGACGAGGGAGAGTGTTATGGGTGATGATGGTGGGGTTGCGGGGGACAAGGATAAGGGGAAGATTGGGAAGTTGAGTGGGAAGCAGGGGAAGGCCGAGGGGCAGAAGGTTGTTACGCCGCCGAAGGAGATAGTTAAGGATAGTGGGAAGGGAGCGAAGGATAGGAATGTGGCGGGGAGGAAGAAGTATCCTATCGCCGAGGAGGGGAAGACGGTGGTGAAGGAGGAGGAGAAGGTGGACGATTCGGATGAGGCGGTTACGGTGGAGATGAATAGTATTCTCAAGATGTCTCCCAGTTCGTCCCCCTCCCTTTCTTACCCCAAACCCCCATTCCCCCAAAGAACACCCCCACAAAGAAAACGAACCCCCCTCGCTAACCAACCCACCCCTCACACAGTCATCATATTCTCCAAATCCTACTGCGGCTTCTCCCGCAAAGCCAAACAGATCCTCCTAACAAAATACCTCATAACACCAACCCCCTACGTCGTAGAACTCGACAAGCACCCTCTCGGCCCCGCTCTGCAGGCCCGACTAGCAACTATGACGGGGAGAAAGACGGTGCCGAATGTGTTGGTGAAGG